CACTATGGCCTCTAAAGGTGCTGAAAGTGGATTGACTTGTTGTTCACTACACCAGCCAGTCCACTTCCGCCAGACAGAAGAGTAAGTCTTCTTTGTTCGGGCTCTCCATGCAGCCAAGAGAAGTCCTTGAGCTGCCTGTGAAATTGACGCACTTTGGAAATTTCTCCTGAGACAAGCCATGCGGCTAACTGCAGGTGAGCAAGAGGATGTAGTTTGTCTTCTTGTCTCAATAACCCTGGGAATGATGGTAGTAGCACTGGGGCTTCTATTATCATTCCCAGCAGTAGCGGATACCAGGACTGGGTCTCCCACACTGGTGTGACCATGGTTATTTGAGGAACTGACTGTTGTTGAATCTGCCTCAGACAACGCCCTATTAGGGCAAATGGAGGGAAAACATACCCTGCGAGTTGGCTCCAATCCAGTGTAAAGGCATCCACTGCCTCTGCCACTGGATCTGGTTTCCAACTCACAAATCTTGGCAATTGTGCTGTCAGTCTTGTTGCAAAAAGATCTACTGCAAATGGACCCCATTTGGAGTTGATTTTCTGAAACACAACTGGATCCAGTTGCCAATCGCTGGAATCTGGTCCAGCTCGGGACTCGTAGTCGGCTACTGTGTTCAGTCTCCCTGGCAAATGGTGTGCCTCGACCGTGATTGAGCGTTCGAGACACCATTGCCAAAGGTCGAAGGCGAGGCTGGATAGGACTAACGATGTTGAGCCACCCATTTTGTTTATGTAACTTATGGCTGACGTGTTGTCCATGAGCAACAAAACATGGATATTGCATTTGCTCTTTAGAAATGATTTGAGAGCAAACCCCCCTGCAAGGAGTTCCAGACAATTTATATGTAACAGGCGCTCTGTTTGGGACCAAAGGCCCCTGGTTTGTGTTTGCCCACAACAAGCTCCCCAACCTGTTGTTGATGCATCTGTCTCGATGATCAACGTTGGAGGCTCTCTCAACAGAGCCTTTCCATTCCAAGCAGTGAGGTGATCTCGCCACCATTTCAGCTCCTCGAGGGCTGCCGCTGACCAAATCACTGGAGCCTCGTAACTCCCCTGTTTTGCCAAGCTTTGTTTTTTGACAGCTTGGAGGTAACGATAATGCAACGGTGCCGGGAAAACTGCTTGAATTGAGGCACTTAACTTGCCTAATAACCTGGCTAATTCTCTCACCGTTATTGTTTGGTGGTCTAGGACTTTCTGACATTCGCGTTTGATGTTTTTTACTTTGTCTTTGGGAAGACTGATTTGAAATGTTACCGAATTTATTTGAAAGCCCAGGAATTCGAGAGATTGAACTGGATTCAGTTGGGATTTCTGGTAGTTTACCACAAAACCCAACAACTCTAGGAGTGCTACTGTAAGTGTCACATAATGTGACAGTGTTTCGGCTGTTGATGCTATCAATAATATATCGTCTAGATAAATTATTAATCGAATGCCCTGTTTTCTTAGCAAACCAACTATTGGTTTTAGGATTTTTGTGAAAACGCGTGGGGCACTGGCCAATCCGAAAGGTAGGCACATAAATTCCCAATGGGTATCTTTCCAAAGAAAGCGAAGGAATTTTTGGTGATCCTTCCAAATGGGAATTGTAAAATAGACATCTTTTAGATCGATTTTTGCCATATAATCGTTTGGTTGCAGGAGGTCTCGCAGCATATGTATGCCCTCCATTTTGAAATGTTCGTACTGAACAAAGTGGTTCAATTGTTTGAGATTGAAAATTGGCCGGTGCCCCCCACCTTTCTTGGGGACCACAAACAGCGTGCTTAAAAAACCTGTGCTGTGTTGTTGTGGTGGAACATATTGTATTGCTTGTTTTTCTATCAATTCTTCCACCTCTTTGTTTATGACCTCTTGGTCCTCTACTGACACCATCATTGCCGGAAAAGTTTTCTGGAATGGCAGATTTGAAAAACAAATTTGGTACCCCGACACAGCCTGGAGTACCCAGGGGTCGTTTGTCACTAATTCCCAATTTTTTACAAAATATTTTAAACGACCTGCTAGTGGCAACTGGTTTGAGCTTACATGACGCAGCCCGAACTTTTCCCACAATGCATTTATTTGGGGGAAATGTGTTAAGTTTGTTTCGTTTTTTAATATACCTGTTATTTGACCACTTTGAGCAATCACTGCTGGCTTTGTTGTGACTGGGATATTTGGAATTGAGGGTTTGGAAATCTGCCTCTCCCCCGGCCACGGGTTCGAAAGGAGTACCTCCCTCTGGCTTGGTAATTCCATCTGCCCCGTTCCTGGCCCCCACGCCATGGGCGGTAACTGGAGGGGGCCCCTCTGCGAAAAAACTGATTTGCTGGTTTCTTTGCAGTTGCTGCTGAAATAATCCGAGCTGTTTCATTCCTTTGTTTAGTCTTTTCTTCAAAGGATTCACCAAACAACATCTTGCCGGCATCTGGAAATGGCTCAGTGGCAAGTGAATTTAACTTTGGATTAAGTTTATCCAAAATTTGTTTTCTTCGCTGAACTGTTAACTGATTGTTAATACTTCCCAATAAACACAGGGCTTTTGTCAGGCATGCATAGAGGCCATTAATATTGTTCGAAGGTACAGTGATTGTCTCGGCACTGTCTTGGCTTGATTGCCATCCTGATACATGCTCAAAGACCATCGACAATGGCCCAACCACATCTAAAATTTGATCTTGGAGCCTTTTAGGCTCTTTGTCTACACCTTTCGCTCCAGCAATCAGTGAGCTCAAATAATTATCGAGAACTGGTGTGTATACTGCCTCGATATTTGGACGCGGGAATTCTTTAGTTATCTGCTTTCGTTCGTATGTAGAAAGCGTTTTGTCAATGAATAAAACATTAAGAAGACTAGAAAGTTCTTCTGAAGCTTCCCAGCGTCCAGGACTATCTTCGTTTAGGTCACTAAATTCCGTGGATTCAGACAGGTTGGCCTTCTTTGCAGGAGGTTCAAATTCCTCCGCATTAATCTCTTGTACGTCCTCGTTCTCGTCTGAAACTTGTTCAGTTTGTTCATTTAAGCCTTGTGTTGAAACCGGGAGGGCGACGGACGCTTTCGTAAGCCTTGTGTTGACCCGGCGGCTAACCGGGGAGTTTGTGCAAACATGTGTGCTCCTTCAGTACGAGGAGTTAACTTGCTGATTTCTTGAATCATACTCGGCAATATAGCCGAAAGTTGATCCTGTACAGCTTTCGAAATTTGTTCGATTGTATCACTGTTAAGATTACCTGGAGGTGTCTTCGGATTCGACTGGATTTCTGACATAACAACTTCGTCGTCGCAGCTTCCAGTGACTGTCGCCATTGTGAGCAAAGAAAAAAGGCAACGTGGACAAGGGGATGCCGGGGATATGAGCAGGGGCAACCTCGTTTTGAGTTAAAGTTAATATATTCTGTAAATTGCTATTGTGAGTGAAGTTAATAAAGGGCATTTACATTGTTATATCGAGGCGAGTATTATGAAGTACAATTATAATCTTCACCATCAAGTGAATTTCGAAGTTTGGACGACTTGATAACATGCCCAAATGCGGTTTTGAAAGTTTACCTTCATTGAAGTCATCAAAAACACGAATCATTATCCTCAATATTCTTTTAAAGTTCAACTATATAGGCCAAACAAGCATTCATACTAAACTCTAGTTACTACTTCGTCGTTACAGTGCAAAACATCCTCAAAAATTTCGTAGTTCATGAAAAAACAGCAAAAATACAACAGTAGGAAAAATCACGCTCCTTGTCAACTTTTTCCGAAAAGCACGCTCGTGCCAGTCCTTTTCCGCATCACACATTCTGCCTCCTCCGCGGGCCCTCGTTGCGTCATGGGAAGGTCACACACAATCTGGCGAGGTCACACACAACCTCTCGAAATCGTGGCCTTCCCACGACGCAACGAGGGCCTGTGGAGGAGGCAGTCACACAATGATCAGCGCGAAATCAACGCGTTGCACCGTCCTCTATATAAGGCCAAAAAAAATATGTGGGTTTCCGGTTTCTTCTTATAAAAACTTAGGTAGGGTAGGTCGGTTTTAACTTTTTTTTTTAAACTTTTTTTTAATTTTCCGAACAAGCGGACGCCATTTTGTTTAGTCAGTGATTCAACATCCAAAGATAAATTTCCCTAATTTTGCCTCAAATTTCAATTGTCCACAAACTTTTTCCTCTAAGTGGAAACACTTACAAGCATGATCCAATAAAAAAGTTTAGGGTCGGGATTTCGACGTCCAAAAGCTAGGTAGGGTCGGGAAACCGGAAACCCACATATTTTTTTTTTGCCTAAGCGCCCTGGGCTACAACAGAGCTGAGCCGTTAGCCCTTTCTGTTTGCCTTAAAATTCTTCAGACAATGAACAAACATTCGCCTCTAACCTGATCCTGAATATCCATATATTTATAACAATTAAACATGAAACATTGATCTAGAAACTTCAAGTTCACTGCTCGAATCCCGGACCACCAACTTTGTTTACGTCGTTTAAATCTAGCATTACAAATTTAATGCATTTTTATACTGGAATTTTATACGAAAACTAGTATACAAAATGGTACGTCAACATCAATTAAACGTACGACGTTTTCATTAACATCTCATAGCATTGGGAATTAAAGTTTCAATTTAGGTTGGAGTGTCCCGTACGACCAGGAATCAAGAAATCTACGACAACTTGATCATGAGGCAATTGCATTAGTAGGCTATGCAACCATTGACGAAGTCTAACCAAATGTATTTGATAGGCCTTTTCAATGTTCTAGCTAATTTTTGGCATTGTTTTGGCATTGTAAACAATGCTTTTTCTAGTGAAAACGTCAATAACTCAATATAAACTTGGATGATAATATATGTTATTGTAATATCAAAATTTAAATTACGGAAAGAGGGGTATGGTTAGGGTTAATTTTTTTTTAATATAATAACACGTATATTTGAATGTAGTGGCTGTTCTTAGTTGTTATATTATAAAATGAAACAGAGAATTTTGTTGGGAAAGTCGGCACAAAAGGATTGTGTTACCATAATTGACTTTTTTCTTCCGTTTAAACGACGTTTAGGTTAAGGCCTGTTATATACGTCGAATTTCGGTCGCGTCGAATGCAATTCAAACAATAGATAATGAAGCTTAATGAAGTTTATCATCTCATTACCTATTGTCTTAATTGCATTGATGCGAGCAAAATTCGACGTATAAAACAGGCCTAACTACTGTAGTATCACCGATTCGTTAATTTGAACAATAAATATATAGCAAAGCACATGTACAGCGAATCAAATGAAAGAACTTAAAAACCTCTTTTTCCTTTAATCTCCATGTCTTGACTGCTTCACAAAGTTCATCCACTTAACCTTGGAGTAAAGTCAAGATTTCAATGTCGACAGGTTGACCGAAACACAACTGGAACCCTGTTAAAAATGTAAAGTTAACAAGAATCATTGTCATGACGCGCCAGCCGGCAATTTAAGAGATTATAAAAAGAAACGAATTCCGGAGAAAAAGGTCATCTTGTGATTCAAGATATGAATAAAACAAGACGAGTAATCGAAACTGTAAATTTTCGCGCTTATAAAATATATTGTTGCTTCAAGCACATATTTCAGAATTAACCTTTATTTTTCCAGCTATTTAGCTCATCACACAATTCCTGTTCATCTTCAGGTGAGAGATTCACATTCTTCAACAAATTTTCCATATTTTGAAAAACAGCTTTATATTTTAGCTCCGTCCACTCTGCAAAGTTGCAATGCGCCCACTCGTTCCTGATATCTGACCGAACTGAGTTTGCATGAGCAGCAGCTCCTACAAATGGGGCAGCTTCACAGATCACTGATAAGACTGCAGACGTGTCCATTGTTACGTCAAAGCCAATGAACTTGGAGATGAATGGTTTAACAAACAACTTTGCCAAAGACAATGGATCCTTAACTGCATAATCAAATGCACGAGGTGATCCAATGACATCATTGTTGTTGATACTTTTATAGTTGAGGTTCAAAGTTGATGGGTGTAACTTTTTCTGGTGTCCACCAAAAACCTGTTTGTTGATTTTGGTCGGTGGTTGATATAAGACTTGATGCCACTTTGGTATTTCGGTTGCAAGAACATTCCTCAATGCAGGAGTGAGCACTTTGGTCAAGCACACACCAATGATAACCCATCTTCGTTCATCGTCTGATATAGAAGTTGAAGCGGAGGCAGTAGCCATTACTAATCTATTAATTTTGATTAAAAAGTGTATTGATTTAAAAACAGCTAGATTGTTCAATATAGAATGAGCTTTATCATCCAGGTAATGACAATCAAACTCAATTCTAGTTAGTCGCAGCCGTAATGCTTATATAACAAAGCCAACCTGATACTCAGGGTTTTCACTTCCACTGACACAGGCTGGTCACATGGCACGCAAATTTTAGGTGCTAAATTTATATTATGCGACTCAGGGAGAGTATAGGTCATTATCTCAGGCAAAACTATAAATCTTCCTTCATATATAAAACGTAAAGCATGTGTTGAAAGACTTGGAAATATCATTTGTTTTATTTGTTTAGAATTGACAATACACCTATAGATTCTGAAATTTGCATTCACTTTCAGTCTTGACAACCCTCTCTATCCTCCTATAACTATGATTTGCGTTTTGCGACAAGCATTATTTAGAACCCCAAAAGGTGCAGTAATTTAGCAATCCCAAATTGACATACAGCTAAGTAAACACGGGGAAGTGCAGCACCTAAACCGCATAAAGACAGCTATTGTTTTATTATATCTTTAGTTCAGCAGCGATAAAACCAAATCATATATATGACCCATAAGTCATACTATTCAGACTATTTCATATAAAATGTACATCTTGTGTTGGCTCGGGTTAGCTTCGTACATTGTTAGCAAAAGACAAATAATTATATAAAAAATTGCGCTTGTTTATAACTTTTGAAATTTCACATGCCTGTACGGCTGTAGTTACACTTGTTCAATTAGTAAACGAAAGCGTAAAATAGAACAAAGCACTAAAACCATTACACTATATCGTTATTGACGTTAATAAACGATGTACTGTTTTGATCATATAGCTACAAAATTCTCAGATAATTCTACAAAGTATATACAATGCTTTTGATTATAAGTTACATACAGTAGTCATACTTTTGTAAATTATCTCAAGTTTTGAACTGGGTATAAACAAGCCGCGTTATCCATTTGTCAAATTGTGTCCGTCAACAGTGTATTGTATATTAAAATGTCAATACTGTAACTGGGTAGCGATATAAAGAGTTCAATTTCGTCTGCGAATTAGAGCTGAATCTGTATCAATCTCACAACCTTTCATACGGCAATCTCTTGCATCTTTTAATTTCCTATTAATTGTTTTTAGTTGGAGTTTCTTCTTTTGCCTTTCTCTTGTTTTTTTTCTATATTATCCACAAGCGTCTCTATTTTTGTATTGATAGCAGATGTCTCCTGTCTTACCACACCCTAGTGACATACTTCCACGTGGCACCTATAATCTGGGTGCCACATGACCAGCCTGTGTCAGGGTTTTCGCTGAGGAGGTAGCGGAAGTGAAAACCCCGAGTATCAGGTTGCTGTGAAAACTGTAACGGGTGCTGAAACTCTCCTAGTTTAAATTTTCACTTTATTAAGGAATATTTCCTTCAACACAATGTTGGTAATTTTGTTCACTTTGCCTTTTAGGAATTCATCAAGAATCTTTATATTACTACGAGTCTTATTCTATCTTTTTCGGAGGGGCTTGCCCCCCCCCTAATTTTAGCATCCTAACCCCCTGTTCCACCATCCCTGTATTTAATGAATGAATCTTATCACTACACATGTGTAGAGAGCGTTTGCACTAATTTCCCAGGGAGGATGCAACTCAACAAAAGCCATGGCGGCCAATCGGCCATGTTGGTGTTCCAGACAAAAGGGTCTAATTAAAATTCTTTTGAATTGGAACACCAACATGGCGGCTGTGACGTCATGTGCAAACGGTCTATATTCTTTGTTATGAAGGTGTGCGAGATAAATATATATAAATAGGGGGTGCTTAATAAATTCCATTCTCTCAAATTTTATTAATTAAAAGAGAGAGTAAATTTATTTAAATACATTTAATACAATTACCACTCTTTAAATTTTTAGTGTTTTGGATGTAGTGCCTATTTGAGGGTGGCACTTATTCAAGGTGGCACTCTTTAAATACTATAATAATTTTATTTGGGTCTGCCTCACAACAAAACTGCATATATTTCCAATGTTCTGGAAAGAGAATTGAATGAGATAGCATTGAAATATACTGTATTATATGCTGATGCTGGAATGAATTTCAGAGATTAAGCATTGAGATGTACTGTAGCTGTTCTCAAACAATTCTGCCTTGATCAAGAGCCCCTGAATGTGGCGAGTGAATGAAGCACTTAGGGACAGCGCTACAAGATGGGGGGTGTGGAAACTGGAACACCCCGTCAAATCATTTTGTCCCAGTCAGCAAACTGCTTTCCTAATTGGCAAAACATGAAATCAATTTGATAGGAAGGAAAAAGTATATAGAATATTTGAATAAAACTGATTATAGATAACGAAAACCCCTCCCTTCCCCCACCCCCGCCTTTACATATGCATGGAAAATGACCCAGCAAAATTACACTTAAACCCTCTCCACCATTAAAACAGAGCTAGCAGCACCCCTGGCAGGACCCACTCTAGCACCAGCCCTCTTTTCAATTATTTTTATTTAAAAAATGTACCAGTAACGTAGGAGAGATATTGCAAATGGACACTAGGGGTGGGTCTTGAGTTGACTGAGCAAAACCATTGCCCAACTCCTATACAACCCACATGGTGAACCTAGAACCTTGAAACAAATTCACAATTTTCCCAATCTTGTTCCAGAGCCTGCAATCCTTGGGAAGGAACGTGAGGCTCTGGGATAATCCGTTTCTGGGAGGAATTTGATTGGCCGTTGATATGGGATGTACAGTTTGGTCTTAGCCAGGATTCCTGGCTTCCGGCAACGGATTATCCCAGAGCCTCTCGTTCCTTCCTGAGGATCGGCGGATCGCAGGGGAACGAGATTGCAATTTTCCATGTACGCTGCAGAGGAAGCTAGGGTGTCTCTGCCCTCTGGTATCTGAGACCATACACCCTTGCCCCCTGAAGATAGACCTTCATGGTTTCTGTTTTACTCTATTTTCACCACTATAATTATGCTTAATTAAGTCATATTTGGCAGCTATGTATGTAATCAAATGTACTTTTTGGTACATTTATAAACGGTTACAAAAGAGGATATATAAAAGCTAAATACAAATTAACTACAAATAGTACAAAATACTAAATATATTTATACATAATTCTAATCTAGGGCTATGAGCCTTAATAGCCATATTACATATAGCCATATTAAAGTGCCACTGCGATGGAAAATTGTGCTGTCTTTTTATTGTATATTCAGGAAGTATGTCTGTAGATAAACAAAATCACCAAATATCAGCGTCCAATTCCATTTCCTTCTGCCTTTTTTTTCAACGCAAACATGCAAATTTTTCGGCCGCCATTACTGAGTTGCCAATTAGCGAGATGTTAATTTCTTAGCCGGATGTGACGTCATTTACTCAACACGCTTCTTTCCCGAAGGAGAAATTAATATTATCAAAGGCTTATACTAGGCTGTTTTTTGTTCAAAATTATGTCTTCTGACGAAAGCCACAGCTCAAATTTTGCAACACAATCATCTTGCGAACTCTCTTTTGCCGAAGACGTTTCTTGTGATAGCGGGGGTGATGTAAATATGGAGAAAAGAGTGGATTTGTGCGAGGCCTATGATACTTCAGTCGAGCCTGTCGAGGCTCTTGCCACTGAAAAAACATAATACACGAAAAGTACTATAACTGACAGAGAGCAAGAGCAGCAAACACTGTCTGCTGGATTGTCTGGGGAAACCTTAACGGGCACCTGGTACGTTTTGGATTGTATTTATTTACGTTTTGGTTTATATATTTGTGACATAAAACAAACATGCAGTGATGGCCATGTTTAACAAAACAAATGGTCACTGGTCTCCTTATAAAAAATCATTGTCACCTCCGTTATATTGCACGAAACGTCTTCAATGAGAGATGGCTTAAAGATGACTGTGTTGCCAAATTGGAAATCCTAACTCACGTAAGAACACATTAATTTGCACAAAGTTGTGGGAAATATATTTCAATTATATATATTAATATAAATATATTATAAACTTCAATAGTATACTTCAATAGTAACTGTGTCCTGGCTCATTGTTTATGTGAACCTTGTAAGAAAAAATGCTGGAAGAAAACATGCATGACCAGCATTTGATATTGGTTGTATTTGAAAACCCTCTGGAAATATCAAGACTTTTAGTATTACCCCCATTCCATTGGAAATCTTGATGCAATGGTCAACTTCACCCCCTATCCTCTTGAATTTCCGATCTCTTCTGTAGCAGGGTGGGGTGTGTGTGGGGGGGGGGGGCGAAGGCTATTTCCTGGAACTATGCAATTTGACTGAGTCATGTAGGAGTAATTTTTGGCATTAAGCATTCCCTCAAAAGGCAACCCCCAGACATATTTGCATGTTTTTCTTTAAAAAGAATGACTACCAGGTAGGTTGGTGAGAAAAAGAGCACTCCCTACTCTGGCGATGAGTGGTAAGAAATTCTCATCAGCCAGGGGCA